TTCCCCCCCCCCCCCGGTCCGTTGCTTAGGTCGTTCCCTCCGGAAACAAAGGGGCGTCTCTCGGGTTCCGCGCTGGGAGAGGCAGGTTGTCTCTGAGGTGATGTCACAGGGGGTGCAAGTCACAGGCGTGACGTCCCTTAGGGCCTGAGTGTGGGCTCCTCCAGCCCCCAGTGCGCAGCCAGCATCGTCCGTCTCTACGGCATAGTCCAGGGGAGGGGCAAGGCCGCCCCATGCCACAGGGTGTTGCCCACAGAGCCAAGGGTGAAATGGGCAGGGCCGAGGAGAGAAGCCATGTGGGACTGTGGCAGCTGAGGTGCAGGCATCAGACCTTGAGGTAGCCCAAGGCACAGAGGGAAGATGCTGTAAACGCTGATCCGGAAGGGACAGACGAGGACGCCATGAGGTTGAAGGAGACCGGGCAAGATCGGAAGAGGAGGAAGGCCGTAGTTACTATGGCCTGTAAGACCATGAAGGGAGAGGTGCCAGCCAGGCTTTGGGGCCCTTCCTCAGGCCTGGGAGAGAAGCAGATTTGGCCTGAACTCAGCACCAGTTGGCACAGTCACTGCTGTTTGACCCTGCTGTGTTAAGGGCATTTTGTTTTATTTCAAACACAATGAGCTGGGCAGGAGCTAACCCGTTCTGCACAACTCAACGCCTGTGCGCCTGGGCCTGAGTGCCAGGGCATGACCCTGAGCCGAAATCCACAAAACAGCAGAGCCAGAAGTGTCAGAAATGTCCCCAGATCTCCAGCAAAGATGGTTTCTAGCATGTTTTACTCAGCTGCCTACATCCCCAAATCACAGCTTCAGAGAAGACCCGGGGCACTACCTGGGTCTCCAGCACATTAAACCAGTTTCTGACAACAGCGCTTCTTGATCTAAGGAGACCAACCTGGACTAGAGACTTTGCATGGATTCTACCACTCTTTCTGTTGTAAAAGTCTTTTTCAAACCTTCCGCATCCATCTTTGCATAGAAAAGACAAGCCTAATACTTGTGGGTTTCAGAAACAGGATGTATTTTGCTTGGTACCACAGAAACAGTTTACCTCAGCTACAAGGGAAGATGTCTGTGTTTCACAGGTTCATCTACAGTCATTATTGTAGGGTTTTTATTCCCAGTTTTAAAAGCCCACAACAGCAATGCCTAATATTGCTATCAAAAAATAAAGAGCGGAGAGTGGTAGAGAGCATAAGACATTTTAAGATGGAAGGATAGTAATTGAAATGTAACTTATTCTGGAGTGGCTCCTAGCTGTTAAAAGAATCAGGGAGTTATGTCAAGATGTCGTTAGGTGATGGGGAAAAAGCCCTTTTCTGTCAAACAGGCTCCTTAATGACTGCAAGGCAGGATTCTGATTTTGCATCCAGTTTGGAATTGACACCTCCGGCCTCACATCGGTAGGCACTGGTTCAACAGTGACTTGGAAAAGAAGAGAACTGCTGCTTGAATTGCCAATTGCTGGGAGGAGGCTGCACAAATATCTTGACACTGTGACCAGAGGTAAATATTTTTCTTTTTTTTCTCCATAAATAAAACAAATGCATAAAGTAAAGACAGAAAAATAAAAACTAAGGCGTAGGATCTGGGACACAAAACAGCTTAGAGAAAGACTGCTAGTGTTTTTTCTCTACCCTTCATCACTGAACCCCTCCCACCACCCCAGTGCAAGGAAGGCTGGACTTTCAAAGTACCACAAAACCAGTTAAAAACATTAAACAGTTTCATTCCTGGGTCAATGTTTTGGTTTTCCTTTTCTTACAAAGGCCAGAATTTAATTTAAATACATATAATTGCTAAAAGGACACCATTCCCATTTCAGGCACATCAAGCCTGTGGCTTTCCCGTGGGGAGAGGCAGCTTACACCACTATCTTCTAGGCTTTGTTTCTGAAATTATATTTGTTACAATATATTTAGTTATTCTCCAGCCCTCTCCTATCTCTCACTTGCAGAGCTCAAAGGGATGGTCTGATGAGGGTAGTGAATGTAGAAGAGAATTACCATTTTAATAAGATTGATTTGGCTAAGGAGCAGTCAGCAGGGAGGCTAGACGCTAAATGGGTGGGATTTAGCCTTGGCCAGCAATCTGGATTAGCCCTGATCTTTCCATTTCAAATCTAGATACAGAAGACTGGCTCTTCCTCAGCAATCAGGCTGAGCTGATTTCCTGTCGTTCCTTTTGGCTGCTTCCAGGGTATGGTGCAGAGCTGTCAAACCATTCCATCCTCTAGTTCAGGTGGGTTGAAAGTAAATTAGTGGCCCTAAGGACTGGGAAATTCATCTGTTTGCAGTGGTCAAGATTCATTTGGAAATTTCTCTTTGCTTTGGCTTTGGTGTGAATACTCCTTTACTCTGTGTGTATGTGCGTGTGTATGTGCAACTGTGCATATGTATGTGTACACATAGGGGATTGTGGGAATCATAAGTGGAATGTTCCTGTTAAACAGAAAGAAGCGGAACTCGGTCTGGCATCTCATTCAGGGCTAACAGAAGGGTTCCTCAGTATGCTCAAACTGGTTCCTCACAGAGCAGCCCTCGATGAGATGAGGCTGAGAATACAGGATTGTCTCCAGGGCTGCCATCTCCCGGCTGAGGCAGTTACAGTCCCAGGCTTGCTAGTGGGCTGTGGAGCCTTCCAGCACTAGACCAGCACTGGAATCCAGGCCAGGCCTCAGTGATCATATGGCTGCACTGCGGGAAATTAATTTGGGGGGTCCCAAGGGGGAAAGGGCTGTACATTGTGGTTAACCCCAGTGCCACGGAGATGGGGACTCTGTCAGGGAGCAGGTATGTTGCCTCGTGTTGGGTGAGACTCCCTTTCACATACCCAGTGACCTGACAGCAGCTTCCTGTCTCCACAGCTGCTGGGCTGGGACCTTTTCCAAAATTCTCTTAAAAATTAATTGCTGCATGTTGGAGTGAGATGCATGGGCAGAGCTGTTTGGGGACATCTGGGACCCACATGAAAGAGTGTACTTCAGAGAAGGACTGGGCTGCTTCCTGGAGCTGGATGGAGTAGGGAAGGGGACTGCTGGTCATTGGCCGCTATGGGGGAGCCCAGAACTGGAGTAACGGGAGTGGCGGAGTAGGCTTGAGGTGTGTTGGCA